TCTGATCAACTTGAAAATTTAGGACAATATTCTAGAGGTGTTGTAGAATAGCCAAGTAGCCATACAAAAATTCATTTTGTTAAACCCGTAAACCCATAAAATTAGCAAGGAAGGCCTCTCACAGTGGAAAAAATACTAAGGATTAAAGCCGTGTTAATATTTTCAAATACATAAGGATTGTTTGCTATAAAAGGATATAAGAATAGTTTTCATCCCATTTTATTCAATCTGAGCACAAATAAGCACCGTTATTAAAAARTACGCTCTATCAATTTTATTAATATGACTCAGATATTGGCCGAGTGTATGAGGGCTAAAGGAAGTTCCAAAGCTTTCAAACATTGTCGAGAGATCGTTGAAAACATCACGTTCTGGGCGACCTTCGACCTCTACAAAAGATTTATTTATTTATTTAAAAGAGAACTAATTATAAATAATTAATCCACTTGTAAGATCTACAATAGATATAATATTAAAAATCGTCAGTGAAGTGTTAGAAAGATTGGCAAGAGAGCTCGACTACTCGACTGCAAGTCCGTTTGAATGATTTTGGTGGATATTTGAGTATGAAACGTATTCTTGCTCGACTCGTCATGATAAAGCTGACATTTTTTCAAAAAGTTCTAATGCCATCTTCATGGAGAGCATTGTACCCGCCGCTGAGACATGGGATTATGACTTTGACATGCAAAAGTGCTTATGAAAAGTGTTTCGAGGTCTGGAAAAATCGTTGGCATTAGTGTACTACATACGAAATAAATAAATAATTAGCGTTTTATTTAAAAATTTTCGCGTACTTTTTTGACAAAACCTGCTTAGAATGTCATAATGTAAGTGCTTAGAATGAATAAAACCGGTTGAAAGTTCGCCCTAGGTCTCACATAACTACCAGGCCTTATATATCGGAAGTACTTTCCTGTCTTCAAAACTTTAAAGTTAAAAGTGTATGAAATGTTTGGTTATCTCCGGAATTGGAATTTCTTTACTTGTTTTAATATTTTTTACTTACATAAACAATCTTATTAATTACGAAATTTCTTCCAAAAACCATTTTCGAAAGAAAATATAATAACAAATTATTTCAACTTATTCACAGGTCGCTCGTGAATACGACAGATATCTCTGCGCATTGAAAATGGATGCGAAAACCAACTCTACAATACTAGAAGTAAAGGAACCGAATGCGCTCTACACAACCGATGTGATAGCGATCACGGCCTATGGCATACAAGCAAATAGTCTCAACGATCCGAACGGCATTTTCCGTAAAAGTGGCAAGAAAATCTTCACATTTACTTGGTTACGTTCCATGGAGTTCAAAGCGTTCTTTTTCATACCCATAATGGTTAAGCTTTTTGGCTTCAAAGTATTTTCCAAGCAGGCCACAATCTTTTTGCGCGACACAATCAATCATGTGATGGAGGAACGCATCAAAAGGGGTAATGTGCGCAACGATCTAATCGACATTTTGGTTAAATTCAAACAAGAGGCCGAAGAAGAACTGAAAGAAGGCAAGAAACCGTTCATTTTGGAGAAAGACGCTTTGGCGGCGCAAGCGGCTATTTTCTTTTCGGCTGGCTTCGAAACGTCATCGTCCACAATGTCATTCGCTATGTTCGAAATGGCGCAAAATCCGGAAGTGCAAAGACGTTTGCGTGAAGAACTACTCGAGGCATACAAGAGTAATGATGGCAAAATAACCTACGAGTTGATTATGGGTCTGAAGTATATGGATAATGTAGTGAAGGAGGTGTTACGCCATTATCCACCACTACCATTCCTCGATCGCGTATGCACACCAAAAGCTGATGAAAAAGGTTATTCGCTGAACGCCTTTGGTTTGGACTTTACAGTACCGCACAATATGCCTGTCTATATACCGAGTCAAGCTTTACACATGGATCCAAAGGTTAGTTTATGCAACGCACTATGTTACTTTTGTTGTTCATTATTCCTTTTTCATTGCTGCAGTACTTCAAAGATCCCGAAACGTTTAATCCTGATCGTTTTCTACCCGAAAACAAACACGAAAATAATATGAATGCCTATATGCCTTTCGGCATCGGACCTCATAACTGTATTGGTGAGCGCTTCGCAATGATCCAAACAAAGCTGGGGCTACTCTACTTCTATCGGAATCATTATGTAACGCCCTGTGAAATCACACCGAGGAAACTGCATTTGAATCCTCGTGCCATCATATTACAGTCCTCTGGTGGCATAAATTTGAAAGTCGTGCGTGATCCATTGTTTTAGAGATGAAGTGGTTGATGAGGCTGTTAATATAGCATTATATACTATACTTCACATACTTCAAAGAAGATACATATAGTAGATGTTGTGTCTAACATATGTAGAGATTAAGCTGTAGAATAACGGTATTTGAAGTAAGTATTTAAGCTTTTCGAAGACAATATCTCATTGTTTTTATTTTTTTTTAAGTACTTGTTTTATTTGTAGATAATATAAATAATCAAAATAAAAAGTATGCCTATATATTATATGTACTAAACATACTAACAATAATTTCGATTCAAATGTCTCTGAAAATAAAATTGTCCAACTGATGTTAATGGTGTCTAAAAATATTTTTGACAGATTGCTCAGTTCCAGTCGAGTTTAGGAGCCCTTACTCTATTGAATCCAGAATTGTTTGGAAGAACGGATTTTAGAGGAACACCTGCTTTTTGTTGTTTTAACGGTTATTTAGTCCCTGTTGGGGTGGTAAGGTTCAGATAAGTTGTCATGGGGTCGTACCATAGGGAGATAGGTGTCAGATTTGTAAGATTAGCAGAGCATGCAAAGAGGTGGTAAGAGACATAAGGGGACTCGTTGCAAGCTGTCGTATCAGAACGCAGCTGCGTTACTCGATTCTTGCGGCCACTTGAACAATGGGTGGTGATTTGGCGCCAAGTACGACATTCACTGAGAGGGAGTCGGTGAAGGTGTTCATGGCTCTATTGTGAATGGCGGTAAGTGCGTGTCTGAAGTTAGTTGCGTCCGAAGTCTGGTCGGCGTATTGTCTTATATCGTCGACGTAGTTGAGGAAGTTGGAAGATGAGAATAATTTCTACGAAAACATGCCAGCAGAAACTGCTTGGAGAGGAGTTACTTAACTGGGTGTCCGGAGTCTCATGTTCTGAATTTTCTGAAGCTTCCTCGTCTGCGTTTCACTGCGTCCAAGCAACCGTATTGGATTATCACAGATGTATGTTGCCAACAACGTTGTTCTTAATTTCCCCAGCCGGCTAACGACTATTGAATTTTGTTGCGGCTCTGGACTTTTGGCAATAATCATGGTTGTGTGAGGATTGAAGGAGCACACGATGTCGAGTGTCGAAACTAAAATCTTAGGGTTATTGATGGGATAACAAGGATCACCTGGTGTAAGATTTTGGTATTCAGAAAGGTAAGGAGTGTAATAGATTGTTTTTTTGGGGTGCTAGACTTCGAAATATTCTATTTATTGAGAAAAACTGAACTTAGCAGAAATCTTCTTCAACTTTTTCTTCCAGCCAAGCACCGAATTCTTTGATAAATGGAGAGTAGATTCATGGATTATCTATGCCGGAAAAACATCAGACCTCAAAAGAGTGATGAACGTCTGCTAAATATCATGGATATATTTAGAGCACGACGAAGATGCTTCCAGTAGATAACTTTAAAGCCTATCTTATAGTATGGTATTTCTTGTGATCTGGTCTGATTCTCACATGTAAATGGTGAACTTTAAATCTGGCAATAATAGCGAGTGATCCAAGTAGATGTATAGTACTTCTTTCAATAGCCGTTTTTGACAGATTGGACATGAGTTGCGTCAAGCTGTTGCTATGTTTGTTCCGTTATGGTCAACATAATCGACCTACTGAACGAGATAGCTTCGATCTACGGGCTCCTGAAAAGTTCAAAGAAGATCTGATGTTTTCAAGCCAAATTTTGTTCAGCGATAAAGCCCATTTCTGGCTCAATGGGTATGTAAGCAAACAAAATTGCCGCACTTGGGATGAAAAGCAACCTGAAGCAAATCAAGAGCTGCCATTTCATCCAGCAGAAGCAACGGTTTGTTGGCCGGTGAAATCATCGGTTCATATTTCTTTAAAAATATTGCCGGTGAGAATATAACCGTGAATGGAGACCGTGATCGTCCCGTAATAATCCGTTATTTAATGACTGAAACTGAAGCTCGTGATCTCGGCGACATTTTTTTCAACAAGATGGCGCCACTTCCCACACATCGCATTAATCAATAGATCTCTTTAGAGAACACTTCAATGAGCAGATAATTTCAAGTTTTGAACCGATCGATTGGCCAGCAAGATATTGTGATATCACACCGTTAGATTTTTTTTCTGCAGGGATACATACATATGTAAAGTCTAAAAAAAGTAAAGTCGGTTTTGGCCAAGGAACAAAACATCACACGTTTCGTGCGGCAGTGGAAATGCTCGAACAAGTTATCTAAAATGGGACTCAACGGATGAACCATCCGAGACGTAGCCGCGGCTAACATTTGAAAGAGATATTCTTCAAAAATGAAATGCTAAAAAATGTATTGATAATAAACATTCCCAACTTGAAATTTTAAGCTTCTGTGTTTTCTCTTTAATTGGATCATTCTTTATATATTTAATAAACCCTCACAGCCGATTCACGATCTGGAGTTGATTAAAAAAAATTTTGATTATGGATTTTAATTATTTCTTTAGCTCCACATCCCGATTCGTTGAGTTCGGATAACTTGTTCTTCGCTAAGAAGCCATGATAGTAGAATATTAGCGTCAAGTTGCCTGTAGTTTTAACTAGTGGCAAGAATTCTTAAATTGACATATTTCAATAACATTTTATCTTTTTATTAAAATAGTGGTAAATGGGTGGCAATCTCACCTCTAAGCCTTTATAAATTTTCCTAGTCTTTAAATATTAGAAAATAGAGCATTTTACTCATCTTGAACAAACATCAAGTATAGTCCACCTTTTGCTTCTAGCATAAATCTCTTCGGATCAAACCGAATTTCTTTCGTTGTTTTCGCACACACTTCCACACGATGCCGCTTTAAGATATAGAGTAAACCGAGCTTGACTTGCAGCATACCAAGCCGACTGCCAATACAACCATGTGGTCCGGCGCCGAATGGTAAATAAGTCATTGGTTTGATGTTGTGCAGTTTCTCTTGGGAAAATCTTTGTGGGTCGTAAAGTTGTGGATTGGGCCAGAACTAGAAAAAATATAAGAAGAATTATTGCGACTAAACTCCAACGTGCAAATTATGTTTCTGGAGCAATAAATACTTTAAGTTATGAGAATATTCGGTTTCAAATTCTAATATACGTACGGAAACGTGTACACATTCATATATATTATATATTATAGAAAAAGTTTTTTACCGTATTTTGAGTTTTGCAGAACTTTTATAGTTGAATTTATACAAATCTTACCTTTGGATCACTATGTAAGCCCAAAATGGAAATATAGGCCGGCACATCTCTGGGTATGCGCAAATACTTCTTTCCTTTGTCAAACCACAACGTCTGCTGCTCGCCATTCGGCAAACACTCACGATTAATAAAGGGTGCTGTCGGATAGAGACGTAATCCTTCGGCGACCACCATATGCATGTACGGCATATGCAATAACTGTTTGTAACTTACACCTCCATTAGATGGAACTCGAAAACTTGTAGCTATTTCGGCTTTTAATTTACGCTGAATTGCCGGTTGCTTTGCCAATTCGTATAAGATGAGCGCGATCAATGAAGAGGACGTCTCAAAGCCCGCCAATAGAAAAATACCCACTTGTGCGGCGATAAAGTCCGGATGACACAGCCAAGCACCGTAAGGTTCTGAATCGCTSAGATGCTGTTGCATGTTCAACAACAAATCGATAAGGTCGCCGCCATCCGGCTTATGCTTGTTCACTTTCAAGCGTTCCTCCACTAAACGGCGTAAATAGTCGGCGTATTTGCGTGTGAAAACTTTCGATTTAAGCGTATGCACCCATTTCGGTAGAAAGAATATTGCAAAGAAATCGATAATCTTACGCAAACTGGGTTGGAAGAGATCTTCGCACTGTGTGCGCATCTCGCAGCCATCATTGCGTAGACCTGCCGCATCGATGYTATACAATAGCGCAGCTGTGAGGTCTGTTGTGTAGAGTGCACACATTTCTTTCACCTCAATGACGGCAGCGACCCCGACACTGTGTTCGGACGCTTCTTGTTTTTTTATCTTACGTGTGATATATACATCTAATAGTTCGGCGTAGGTAATCAGTTTTGGATACATTACACTTTTGATATGTCCACTAGTGAAAAGTTTCGAAATCTCGCGTCGACTCTTGCGCCATATCGCATATTTGGCCAAAGGTAGCGTTAAAGCGCCCATGGGATCACTATGTAGATCGGCAGCCTCATAGCGATTGCGAAAACTAATAAACTGTTTTGTGAGTAACTGTTCGATCAATTGCGGTTCGCGTATAAGCAGTGCGGGCGTGTGTAGTATAAAGAAACCGAAAAATGGTGCCGATTGGAAGTTTGGCTCTTCGTAGAGCCCGCGAAAGTAGTCACCGAAAGAAGTACGTAACAATAGTAGTGATTTTAAATTTCCCAAAAGCGGTGTGGGCTCGAGATATGGTATTTTACGACGATGCCAATAACTGTAACGGCGTTGAAACCAAAGTTGTATTAAGGTCATAGTAACAAACATGAGCGCTATTGTGATCAGCAGTTCGTAGCCGTAGACCGACATGACATTTGTTGAGCTCTGAAAAATCAATTAAAGCAGAACGTGAAATATTCAATGCGGTGTTGCTAAATGCTCTGTTAGCGATGTTCAAATAACTACGATAAGTCTTGATTTTTGTTCTGTATTGTCCTGTTGACTCCCAAGACTATCCTAACACTTAAAGTTTAAACGTCTTATATATTAAATATTAAGAAACCTCATTTCAAGTCCCACTTAACGTCCATAGAATACACTTATGAATCATGAAACTTAATGGGATTGTACGGCCCACAGCTTCTCTGGCAGCATCAAAAAGGGTTCTCTATCTCTTCTTACGTGAAGGATATCAATGCAATCTTTATTGAAGTAAATAAACATAATCAAAGAAGAGTATTTCCTTTTATATCAGATTTTTGCAAATATAAATTCGATATTTGTTTAAATTTATTGTCGTCTCACAAACAATACAACTCAATTCCTCGCGGTCGGATCAAATTGTTCACTCATATCCTTCCGTTTCTTTTCGATGTCATAAAACGATGCGCTTCGAGTGTCAAAACTAAAGTCTTTGTTGGATGCTGCACCAAAAACTCATGTGGTTCGAAAATTTCCTACTTTTATTACTTTATTATGGTAAGAAAGAGCTGTGGCCGCTCTACTAAACAAATGGGATTGCGTCTACCGTCTCTCGATCGGCAATGCACCGCGCCGATGGAGGATGACGGTTACTCGTTGGAACTACTTCACAAATATCGTTTGCCACAGGGTATGCCAGCTTACATACCAGTTTATGGCCTGCATATAAGTCCGAAGGTAAATAATTTTTAATAAGATACACTTACTTTTGCTAACACTCCTCACAGTACTACACTGAGCCGACYAAATTCGATCCAGCGCGTTTTGCACCACACTACAAGAAGTAGTTGACGTCTTACACTTATGTACATATATGCCATTTGAACTGGGTACGCACGCTTGTATTGAGGAACGCTTCGCTATGCTACAAACCAAAATCGGACTCACCTATTTACTACTTAACCACAAAGTGACGACTTGTAAGCGCACCAAGATTCCCATGCAGTTGGATCGCAGAAGCGAACTCGTAATGATCCAGGCCGAAGGCGGTATTTATCTGAATGTTGTGCGCAGTCCGCTATGTGAGCGTATAGAGTGTCCCGTTAGTTGCAGAGATCTGCGAAGATCAGCGCTGACCGTGCGAAACGCACGAATGAGTGAAAGTTGTTTGGTGTCGTACGATTTTAAGGGCACGCATCACCGCACAAGCTCAAATATCGATTAGTAAACTACACACATTTTGCTTTTAAGAAAATGTTTTTATTTTGCAATTTTAGACTTGGGTCAACAGCACTTTTGCGTGTTTTGGGTAATTTATAAGATTCTCTAATTTTCATTTTCATTTTTATTGTGACGCGTGACCTTTAGTTTTAGTTCTATCATACTAAATAAGCATGTTCACTGTAAAATTTAAATTTGTAATTCACATTGACACTCCGCATGACACACGCGATCACGAAGGGGTCTTATGCTAGCAGCAATGAAAATAAAAACTTCAAAATTTATCGTGTGACGTTTACTTCAAAAAAGAGTTAGGAAACGTAGATTGGTACGAGGATAGTTTGAGAGTTCTGTCGAAAGAAATCACTTTCGAGCTATTCCCAACTTCAATCTCCCATATCGATAGAGAAAATACTATGAATATACGTATGATTAGTTATGCCAAGTTTTGAGTTTTATTTAATCCTATTTTTTTCACATGAGACAAAACTATCCTTACTTAGCAGAGAAAGTGGGCTGAATTTTCAAAGCTAGTAGAACCTTGAACTTTAGTCCGACTTTTTTTTTTAAAGTAGCGGTATCAAGCTTTCGTTCAAGTGATTCATGTTAAGATCTCACAATCTGCACCAACTAGTGTGGCTTTAGGCCTGGAAAATCAACAACTGACAAGRCCTCTTCATCGATTTTAAAGCTGCTTTTGAGCGCATGAAAGGGAGCCTTTATGCCGCGATGTYTGAATTTGGTATCCCCGAAAAACTAATACGGCTGAGCAATACCCAAAGCTTCGTCAGGGTCGAGAAGGTTCTCCTTTCCGAGCCGATCGATAMCAAACGAGGTTTGAGAGCCTCGAAATCCAACGCAGAACAGATGCCAGTTCGGACTTGAGAAGTAAACTCTTATCTCGACGAACAAAAGCCAAACTCTRTAAGTTACTCATTATGTATTCCCGTCCAGCTATATGGCGTAGAGGTATGAATGATAATAACATCTTATGACATCTAATGAGTCGACTTTWCGTGTTTTCGAGAGAAAMGTTCTGCGGAACATTTATGGTTCTTTGCGAATTAGGAATATGCGCGGTGAATACCAAGCAGAGATATAGAAGAACAACTGGCGCTGTTATAAACTCGGCTATAACCGTGAAGACGATGTCTACGCCAATAAAAAATAGTAATTTTAGTGTCTACAACTTCCGAGTGATATCCATTTTTATATTAGTTTTTTTTTTTTGTTTTTGAACTTCCAGATGAGATATTGAAACTCATCTTTGCCTGGGAAAGGTTCTCCAAATATAAATTAAAGCATTTTCGAGAGTTACCAAAGGTCCAGAACAGACTGAGAATTGTGTTGGGCACAAACCTACCTTCAAAAGATCATTAACAAATTTCTTTTTAATTTTCTTAATAATTTTTATTAAAAAAAGGAGTTATATAAATATTTAAATGTAGCGATACCTTTCGAAATTAGTTTGGATTTTGAACGTTCACAGCCTGGCATTGCGCTCATAGCGTTTGTCATTGACAAATTTCAAGTAAATAGCTTCCTTATGGCTTAASGTTAAGGACAGTGGATCGAAAGTGATTTCGGACGGTGTTTTTTCACAGGTGGTGACATAATGATTCTTCAAAATATGCACCAAACCAATTTTAGACTGCAGCAAACCGATACGAGAACCAATACAATTACGTGGTCCACTACCGAAGGGAAGGTAGGACATAGGCTTATGGGTTTTCTTATTCTCGGCGTTGAAGCGTTCAGGGTCGAAGGTGTCCGGGTTGGGCCAAAACTAGAATTAAAAGATTGTGATKGTGATTRAARTTGCTTGAAATTCAGTTGATTCAGTAAGTACTGAGTTAACCGAAGCTAAACTAACTCACCTCSGGGTCACGTTGTATGCCGAAGATTGGTATATAAAGATGCATACCTACTGGCACTGTGTAATCGTAATATGGYTTAAGGTCGAATGGCTTTTCCCCCTCTTTCGGCAGATGCTCCCGACCGAGAAAAGGTAGTGATGGGTATAAACGCAATATTTCGTCAACTACCATACCTAAATAAGGTAGATTATTGATAGTCTCATATGACAATCTACCTTGCTCAGCTACGAAAGCTTCACATATCTCATTGCGCAGACGTTCTTGTAAATCGGGTCGTTTCGATAATTCGTATAGAGCAAATGTCATCGTCGAAGATGACGTCTCAAAACCAGCTACCATAAATACCGCTGCTTGTGCTGCTAAGATATCCTGTAGTTGAGCATTATACTCGCCTTTCGCGACAGCCTCTTGCTTAAGGCTCACCAAAACATCGATGAGATCGTTACGCGTCGCTTTGCTTTCCTCCCTTAACGCCATAACATGTTCGATGGTGCCACGTAGAAAAGTTTCGAACTCCGGTATCAAAACTCTCACACGCAATGCTGTGGCCCAATTCGGATAGAAGAATGCGATGAAGAATTGAAGAGCGCGACCGAATGTAAAGGTTAGCTGTTTTCGGCCTAGCGCACGAAACTTGGCACTCGGATCTACAAGACTATTCGCTTTAATGCCAAAAGCAATGGTGGCAATCACATCGGTGGTGAAGTTTGCACAAACCTCTTTAGCTTCWGTTACGAAAATGTCGTCTGTTTTAGTAAACGAATTCAAATGGGCTTCCAACTCCGTGCCGATCTATAGGCGCGTAACGAGGGATACACATAATARAAAATATATATTAATACAAAAGTTAGAAACACTTAACGCGCATACAAACCTCAGTCATTAGCGGATACATTTGTTTGATCTTTCCCGTTGTGAAAATCGGCGTTATTTTCGTTCTCAAATCCTTCCATTGTGGATTGCGTATGAAAAATAGATTGTTCGATCCCAAGGGATCATTGTGTGGATCAGAGCCACCTGACCGATTGGCGAATTTCGGAAACTCCTTGATGAGCACGGATTTTATAAGTTCCGGCTCACGTAGCACTAACGCTGGCTTGTTGAGTACGTAAATGCCGACGGCCGCTGCATTTGACATTTTAGCATCCTTATAGACGTCAGATAGATATAGAAAGAAACTATTGGTCCTTTTAAATAAAACTTCCATATTGCCAATTAGTGGCAGTGGCGTCATATAGGGAATCTTATTGCGTTTCCAATAGTCATATGTATAGCGACACCAAACGTAGACGAGCGCCAAGAAAGCCGCCAAGAGGCCTACAGTACCTGCCGTCAGCATTATAAACACTGTATTCGAGTGTGCGGAAAAGAGAGAGTGATAAGTGATTATGTTAGTCAGTTCACCGATTTKTGGGGTGTCTAGTTAGTAACCCTAAAAGTCATTTAAAATTACATATCTATAATTTGGACTTTTGTTTCGTTTCCTTGCTTTGCTTAACTAAACTCAAAGTTACTATATTATGCTTTTTGTAGCTTCYACTGATCGAAACATAGCTAAAAACMCTCTTATATGGTATATGTAGATAAGCTTAAAAGCCTGTAAGCCATGCGATGTTCGAAAAGCTCTCTCAAAGCCGAAACGACAATTGTTCGGTAATATGTTTGGCTTTTCTGAATAATTGGATAACTAGAAAAGTTCGCCTGTACCGTTTGAAATACATAAATTTTCTTAATTAAGTATTTAATCATACATAAACATATTTACTGACTTATTTAAGAGCGGCGACGTACAATTTATGGTCGTTATAATCGTCCTGTCAGATCAACAATTGAGCGTCTAGTGAAAAAATTTGAATCCACAGCCACAGTACAAAATGTTTCCGTGCGAGTGAGATAAAAAAGTAAACGTAGTGTTGAGCATATTGCTGCCGAACACCCAAATAAGTCTCTCACACGTCGCTCTCAAGCGTTGGGCATCTCTCTRACGTTGTTGTGGCGAATTTTGCGAAAGGATCTTCGATCACATCATTAAAAGATCAAATTGACGCAAGAACAGTAGACGATCGACCACCAGAATTGTTGTATGTTCGTGAATTGGACTCCATGAGTTACCATTGCATGTCGAACAAATACAGGTTGGTGTGGGCCGGCGGCGTCATTGGGTCGTACTCCCTACGTGATGATCAAGAACGGCACGTTGTTGTGAATCGCTACCGCTCAATGATAACTGAATATTTCTAGCCCGAATTGAATAATATGGACTTAGACAACATGTAGTTCCAACAGGATGGTGTCACCGGTCACACAGCGAATGTCACAATCGATTTATTAAAAACCACGTTCGCCTCCGTCATGCGATTTGACGCTGTTAGACTATTTCCTATGAGGCTACGTCCGGTCTATGGTCTATGCCAATAAACCAGCAACCGTTTGATGAATTTCGTATGAATACCGAACKTGAAATTGCAGCAGCATCGGCCGATTTATGCTTGAAAACCGTCGAAAATAGGGTTGAGCGTCTGGACTACTGCAAGCATGACTACCACGCAAAAGAAATCTGGATCCATACATAAAGGCATCGAAAGTACTTTCACAGGAATAAAGAATTTCATTGATTTCTCCAACTGTTTTTTTTTTTATTAAAAACTCTTATTAAAAACCCCCTTATAAGCCTATACGTATGTATGTTTTACTAAAATGTGCAAGTCATCTCTCTAAAAAAGTTTCAGTTTTTAAAGATAAGCGATTGTCGAGTAACGTCAAGCCAGTAAGGGTATGTTTGTATGGTGTAGTCCAAGTTATTCAAGTGTGCTGATAAATTGTGTTTATGCTTTGTTTCTCTATTACCCAGGAATTTAATAAGTTATGATTAGATAATTTCTGCAAGTCGTTCAATAAACTCCAGTTCTAACTGATTTTGGAAGAACTATTTTGTTTTTGTAAGAGAGGTTGGGAAAGTCCACAATAAATGGTTGGAAATATGTTTATTTTAAGCCATAACATAAATATTTCCCTACAAGTTCACTAAGAATTTTGCAAACACAATTTTAGCGAAATAAGTTTTAATTATTATCGTAGTGTATTAAAATTTTTAATTTTATTTATTTTCATTGTAAATTATTGTTATTTTTGTTTTTTTTTTAATTTTTCACTGTGCGACTCAT